TGTATATTTAGAAGATCTTATGCTAAGACACGTCTGAATATGTGTTGAAACAAGTATCAATTACAGATATTTTAGAAAAGGAGAAAAAAAAACTAGAAGTTTGATGTTTGCTGAACCTGTGATTGCCCGATCATTGCTTCAGCTTAAACAGTACAGTTGAATTACTGTAATTCTAGGCTGAAGATGTTCTTATACCCGACACAAGTGTCGGACATAGATATTTTAGAAATAAACGAAAGAGTCCAGGCATCATAGACTATAATTGTGATGTTAGCTAATCTGTGATTGCTCAATCATTGTTCCAGTTTCAATACAGTTGCTTTCTTACCTTCTAAGCTGAAGCTGTTCTTATATTGACCACAACTGCTGTACACTATAAGTTATTTTAAGGGGGGAAAACCCGAATAACGTACACTATAAGTTTGATGTTAGCTGAATCTGTGATTTCCCAAGCATTGCTCCAGTTTAACAGTACAGTTGATTAAACTTGCCTTGTGTGCTGAAATTGTTTGCATGCTAAAACCTCCCGTTGATCCATTACAGGTAGCATTTGCTAAAAGAGCTGTAAATGATCCAGAATCAAGGAAAGCACATGACGTGCATAATTTATCATCTCTATTGGGGGGGGGGGGGGGGTGTGCTCTTTTCATCGCCGATGATATGTTTCCCGGGATGCCTTTCCTTCATTCCGCATGGCATCTTGCAGCAGCAGTTGGTGCTGGCACTTGTAACAAGCGTCTCTAGTAGTGTATATCATATAGCCAACCCTATATCTTTCGTTAATTCCTCATTATTCATTTACCTTGAGAGCTGGGGAAACGAATTCGCATTGTTTTCCAAGCACCATAATTAGGAATAAACATGGACATATTCAGTCGTTTTATTTATTTTATTCATGTATTTAGAGGGACTTATTTTTGATATGCATCGTACATTGATACTTGAGGAATCCTGCTGCAAATGATTAGAAATATATAAATAGATAGAGGCTTGATTAAAAACAAGAGATTTGAAAAGCATATTGAACAATTAAATTTAATAAAATCTAAATTGAACACCTTATTTTTAATTTTTAAATTTTTTTTGCTTAGTGGTTGGCTCAAAGGTGACATTATTTTATCTGTTATATGTTAAAAAGTTTAAAGACTATACAAATTAAGAAATAAAATATTTGACCTTTCAAATAATTAAGATTTCTTTTATAACAATGAATGGTTCAAACTCTATCCGTGATTTATTACTATGAAAAGTAATTAATAATAAAAGGCTCTGGGTTGCATCAATCAGAGTGTGGATTTGGTAGATAAACAATGATCCTTAGCTCATAAGCTTTGTATATATTTAACAATAATTCTCCATCAAACCATAATTAATTCTTAAGCAAATCATGACACGGGTGATGAACATAACGTTCAGTGAACTGTTTGTATAACGTTCATTTATGTTCTTTTGTTAAGCTAAATAAACATGCATGAACAAAGTTTTTTATGTTCATTTAATAAACAAACAAACAAATATGAACAAAAGTGTGTTATATTCGTTTATGTTCACGAACAAATTAGTTTATAAGTGGGTTTATCAACTCGTTCATTTATGTTCATGAACAAGCTTATTTACCTGGTTCATATTTTTCTTTATTTTTTTTTCATTTTAAATATCAGTGAAAGTAGGAACTAAAATAAATACATGGTAAAAATTTAAATTTAAACTGTGAAATTTAAGGAGGTAAGTACTAGTGACATAATTTTACTATTTTTCTTTAGTTTGCAAATGAAAGAGTAAAATTGAATATATAAACGAACTATAAACGAACACAAACACTAAATAAACATCAAATAAACATATTCGTGAACATATAAACGAATATGGTCGTGAATATTAAACGAATATATTTGTGAATATAAATAAACGAACACAAACACGATCTTAAAAATTAAACAATCTGGACATGAACACCTTAAAAAATAAACAAATGAACATGAACATCACCTTGTTCGTTTAAGCTTTGTTCATTTACACCCCTATCTTCTTACAGTACAAAACTCTTTTAGTTTTATACAAATTTGAGATCATTGGATGAGTAAAAATAGATGATTGAGATTAAGTGGTTGTTTTTTCATTGAATATATTCTCATTTTCTGCTGCTAATCCCAACTTTCTATTTTCACTCATCTAACGATCTTAAATCTATGTAAAAATAAAAAAAATTATATTATGTAATAAGATCTTATCTTTTTTAAAAATATATTATTTTTAAGTTTTTTTTTCATATTTATTTAGATTTAGATTTATATTAATTATTTTTATGTCATGATAAATTATATTAAAATTTATGTAATAATTTATATAATAATTAAGTTTTTTCCTTATATTATATACCAATCAATACAACTTATCCTACTCGATTACATCAGTAACATTATATACATAACAGAATTTTACTCTTAAAAACATAAGAAAACTTAATAAAAATGAAATAAAACCAGGTTCATACGTGAGACTAAACTTTTTATTATTATTATTTTTAAGAAGAAGAAGAAGACTAAAATTCTTTTTAGATATATAATATTTACAATTGTATAAGAGGGGTCCCACATGTAATCCACTGAGATAACAAAACATGGGAAGGGAGGACAAAGGAGAAAGAGGGATCCGCCGTGGCGGAGGGGAAGAGGACAAGAAGACAAGTGGGCCCCCAGATTTGTCCCAATCCTAATCATCGCCCCAATTTGTTCCCTATACTTTGTCTTCCACTACCCCTAACCCCATCATCGCCGTCCCCGATCTCCTTTTCCCATGGCGATTTTATATAGTGAACTCTAGGATCAACTACACTCATACTCACTTTTGTTTAATTTTCTTCTAATTTTGATTATTCAATTTTTAATTGTTACATTTGGATCAATTAATTATAGTTTAATCATTGAGTCGTCCATCCCAGATGCATTGATGATATGTCATATTAATAAAAAAGATTAATCAAACCGCACATTTTGTTTATCAATAATAATTATAATAATAATACCCATTTGCATTGCATTCACATTCTTATATTGATCACTATAAATGGTAATCAGTCAAATAATTACAAATTTTTCGATTAAAAGTAGAGCTCAACTTCTGAAAATTTTGATTGAATAAGATTTTCAAAAGATAATTAATTGATTACAAGTTACCAATTTTCAAGGAGTAAAAAAAATAAGGTGAGTCACTGGTTTTTTTCTTCAAATTAAATTATATTTAAAGAAAAAGATAATTAATAAATAAATTTCTAAAAAAGTATAATATATTTGACCAATTTGCAATAGGTTTAATTTAATCGTGACACATGTGATTGGGTGGTTGGGATGATCATGTCAAATTTGGCCATACCAAAGTTGGGTTCCAAATTTCCTTATAAACCACATTTGTTTTCATTAATTAATATAATCAGCAATTCAAAGCTTAATCTTAATTTTAATTGATCACTATTAACTCCTTATTTAATTGTCTTAATTGAAATGGCAATGAATCACCCTTTCTAGGGTTCACACCAACACACTTGGAATTTTCAATTCCAGAAAAAGAAATATACAATTAATGATTTGTGCAAAATGAGGTGTGAACTACTGATGGCATTAATTAAGGATAATTTAATTATTACATTAAATTTTAATATTTTAACCGTTATAATTTATATTTTATTTACGTATGTAAGCACTTAGTGTAAATTTGGACGTTACAGTTTGATTTGAACCTGTCAAACAAGTAAAGTAGCATTTAGTTCTTCAGTATCCTTTTTCAATAACTGTTGAATGACAGTAATTTTTATATATTTTTAAATATTTATACCTTTATATTGAATTATTTTTAAATAATTGTAATTAAAATTTTATCATTATACAATATACTCGATTGATTTTAATTATAATTTTTAAAATTTTTAAGTTTGAGCAATAGATTACTTATTAATTGAGTAAAGATCAAATAAAAAATAAAATAAAATAGTGTGATTTGAATAATTTTTGTTCAGCCCTACTTCTCTGCCCCGCCCCAGTCGTAAATCGGCCCCTCGGACTCAGTGAGTCAGTCTAAGCACCCAATCATTCCATCAGTGAACCTTTGAACCGACAGCCAGACTCGGCACTTATTAATGCAAAACATGCCGGTTTTTCTCCTACACCCTCCAAGATCTTCTTTTCTCTTGACACGTGTCCTGTATCAGACAGGTCAAACCTTTTGACTTAATGAGCACAGTCAAATACAACTCCCATATATTAATATTGAAAAAAATCTAAACGCAAAGAGTTGTCCACGTTGACATGTTTATCTATATAAATTCTAATAATTTAATTTATAAATATCTAAATTTATTTAAATTTAAATATTTATTAAATAATAGTTATTTCATTATTTAAATTTTTTTAATCTAATAAGAGAGTATTATTATTTTTAAAAGAATTGAATCTAAACAATCAATATGTCCATAACATAAATTTTAAGCAGGTTTCACCAATTTGTATTTTAAACTCGTTAACTAATTCTATTAGCTCACTAATACACATATATGCATGCATCACAAATCATATAATATTTTAGGAGTCACTTCTTACCATAGAAACTCTGTCAATATCTCATCGCAAACCATTGTTTATTCGATAACATAAATACAAATTAAATTTACACTCACATGATATCCTTAACTTGCAACATTCCTAGTAATTTCTCATTTCATCCTTAAGTTTCATTCATATATATATATATTATATATATTATCAAAATTAAAAAGAATTCTAAATAAATATTAATTTATAATTATTTTTTAAATATAAAAATAAGGAATTATCCCATTTTATTTAATTTATTATATCTATTAACGACTTTGACATTTGCCCAATCGTTATTTCCCATCGTTTCCTTTCCTATTCAATTCTCTAACATCTCCATATCCCTTATTTATCTCCCTTTTTATTTATTAAAAAAAGTATACCTTTTTTTCTGTCTTTAAATCAACCCCTTAATCCCTTTCTTTCTTTGTTTGCAACTTTCATGGCGATCTCACCGATCTTCTCTTCTAACTTGGAGTTAACAATATCTGTCCCCCCTTCCGGTAAGCAAAAAGACAACTTCAATCCCCTCGAAAATCCCATGTTTCCCCCTTTGATCTTCAATACACGCTTTCCAAACAAGGGTCTTTGTTTTTCTCTTTTGATACGATGATCTTCAGTAACATGGATTGATTTTGGTTTTTGGTTTTTAAAACAGTGAGAGATTTGGATATAAACCAAGTACCTCCGGCAGGATCCGAAGACGAATGGATGACATCAACCATCGATGAAGAAACCATCAATGGCGTCGGTCCTCGCAAAAAGCTTCGTCTCTCAAAAGAACAGTCACGTTTGCTCGAAGAAAGTTTCAGACAAAATCATACCCTAAACCCTGTATGTAATATATCAAACATAATCCCCAAAACCCAACCTTTTTTCTCTTTCAAAATCTCCAATGATTTCATCAGATCATCACTTATTTTTCATCTTTTTCCCCCTCAGAAACAGAAAGAAGCATTGGCTTTGCAACTGAGGCTTCGGCCCAGACAGGTTGAGGTTTGGTTCCAGAATCGTCGAGCCAGGTACAATAAAACATAGATTTATTCATTGAATTATTTCATTTTCTTAAAAATATTATGGTAATTTATTATAACAAGTAGATTAGGGTAGATACCATAAAAATGTTGACAGAATTTCGGAAAGTATAAATAATCTGAATCAGTTCTACATATATTCTTTGTCTTGGGAAGTTGATATATCACTATCATTCTTATAATATATAATCTCCACAATGAATTTAAATTGAGTTTATAACGTCACATTTATGTCAAAAAAAAGTTTATAACGTCACATTTTAATTATTACTATTTAAGATTTTTTTTTATCATGATAATGTTATCACATTAACGAGAAAACACCATCCATATATTCTTACATAAAGTCAGAACTTATAGGATTTAATGCCATGAAATTAAGGAATTGTTGCAGTTATATATAATATTATAATATAAGCTTCATGTATGGGATGAAATTAGCTAATGTTTTGGGTTATTTTTCTTGTTATATATATATATATATAATTATTTTTTTAAATTCAATACATGTATTTAATGGGAAAAAATCTTAAAGAACAATTAATTTTTAACACCATGCATCAGTTAAAAGAACAATGAACAAGTTTATGAAAAATTAATGATTTTGTTTGATTTCATTAGATGGGAGAGCTTGAGAATAAAACAACAATGACGGTTTGTCTTAAAAATCTAAAACATCAAAATATATTACAATCATTGCACCAATTGACAATATTGCATCCCTTTAAAAAGGCAACTTATAATATTACACCAAAAAAATAAATAATACTTATCCTATATATATATAAATAATATTAAATAAAATTTAAAAAGTTTTTCTTTAGTAAATAAATTATTAAGTCTCTTAAATAAGTATTGAAACTTAAATCTTAACATTTTGAATAATGTAAATTGAGTTGAGAAAATTATCCCATAATATATCTCTTGAATGTCTAATTTGAATTAATTATTTAAAAAATTATAGGAATATTTATATTAAAAAACTAGAAGGAATGATAATAATGAATAAAGTGGTACATTGATAGATCATTGAAGAACTGAGAGCAGATTGCAGAATTATTACTGAAATAGAAATTGCTGCTTTTATGAGTCATTGATAGATCATTTGGTGGTATTTACTGTAACGGTTTAGCATTTAATAGATAATAAATGCACTTTATTTATTAAATATGGATAAAATCCAACTTTGAATTTATTATACTCTCTTTTTGGAAACAAAAAAGTTTAATATAATGAAAAAGATAATCAGGAAAAGCTTTTACTTAATTAAGTTATTTATATTCCCCGCACTCATTCATTATTAATATGAAAATAGAGTTTTTAAATAAATAAATTAAAATTAAAATTTGAATATATTATGATCTTATCTAATTATCTTCTGGACATGTCTTTATTTATATATATTTTTAATTTCTTTTATAAATTTGATATAAAAACATGTTAATATTTGTTCAAAGGCTTTTAATTTGTTGATAATGAATGTTCATGTCCTTATATATATGCAGTATTAGAACTCATAAAACTCAAAGAATAATAATAAATTTTATATTCACTTCTTTATGTATTATTTTTATAATATTTAACTAAGTAATTATATATATATATATATATATGTTAATGATAAATTAATCAAATATAGGAGCAAGCTGAAGCAGACGGAGATGGAGTGCGAGTACCTAAAGAGATGGTTCGGGTCATTGACGGAACAAAACCGGCGGCTTCAAAGCGAAGTGGAGGAGCTTAGGGCCATGAAAGTAGGGCCGCCGACAGTGATTTCGCCTCACAGCTGTGAACCGCTCCCTGCATTAGCCCTTACGACGTGCCCACGGTGCGAGCGTGTCACCACCATCGTGCACGGCGTCGATCCCATCAAAATGACAGCATCCACCACCAGCACCGTGACCACTGGTGCTAAAGTTGGCGCATCACCAGCCCTCCAATGAAAGCTTCAGAAGTAGACGACTAGGTCTTAAACATAAGATAAGAGGGGTTTAAAAGAAAATTTTTCAAGGAAGGAATGTCCATAATAGTGTAAGGGATAGATAGGATAATTTAAAATAGCTTTCAATCCTTCTATATGAAACATTTATGAAAATATTTTACTTCCTAAAACTGGGATTGTTGCTCCTGCATCTGCAATTATTATCCTCGTTTTTAATGATGGGATTTTGGCCATGACATCCTATTTTTCTTGAATTATTAAATTTTTAAAAATCACATAATGAATATTAAATTTTAAGAATTACAAATTTTTAATTTTGTAAATATAATCATAATTAAATAAAAATAATTATAAAATAATATGATAAATTACGAAAATTTCATAGAAATATGATTTAATTTTTTTTTATAATTCAACAAATAAATTATGAAATTCCATATATATATATATATATATATATATGTATATAAAATGATTTTTTAAAGAATTATTACTTTAAAATATCAAAATTAACATTTTTAGTCATTTTTTTATTAATTTAGTATGCCCAGTCATCTCTTAACGATAATTGAAGTACAATGTCTATAGATATTCACCGTAGACTCAATCAAATTTGTAACTCCTATTAAGTTCTTGGACATGTTACATTGCCAGTATAACTAATTCTGTGCACGTAAGATCTCTCATATGTCCAAAATCAAGATGGTATGTTGGAGTGAAAGATGAAAAAAATATGTTTTTAGATTTAAATATTAATACGGATATGATGATTTTTTTATATAATTTTTATTATATTTAAAAATTAATCTTATTAAATGAAGAGTCGAAATAATATATAGATAATAATAATAAGTATGAGTTAAAGATAATACATTATATTTTATAATAACCACAGAAACCAGATCTTTTATTGGTCCGAAGATACAAGGCATAGAGTTCAATATGAAATTACTTAATTTTCTTTAAAAAAAATCTATAAATTCACATGTCACTATAAATACTTGTATTTGTTTAAACAAATCTAGAAATATTTTCTATAAAGTTTTTATTACTGAATCACTGTGTCTCTCATTAGTTCGAAAAATATAGGGCACAAGATATATCATCTGTGGACCTTCAATACAGAAAGTTGGGAAATTGGAACATATTGAACTTCTATTCGTTTAAAAAATTATTATTTTAATAAAATATTTAAAATATGAATATTTCATTTAAATGTTTAAAACAATTTTTAATTAAAAGAGATATTTAATATATTCACTTTCTTATCCAAACTTTTAAGTATTTATTATCAAAATAAATAGTAAAATAATATCATCTTTAAAGTATATCATTTTTTTTGTAAGTACCTAAAAATTCATAAACGATATTGATTAAAAATATTTTAAATATCTAAATAAAAATATATGCGGGAGTGGGTTTATTTAGATTTTTAAAGTTTTTATATATTATCGAACAAATCTTGTATACTTTTCTCATTAGTTAAGATAATTACAAAGTAACGTCTATTCAAAAGATTCTTAATCATTTAATAATAAAGATTCAAACACCCCTGCTAACGTCGTACTCAAACCTGAGACCTCTAGAAATAACATCAATTTAATTTACCACTAAAATCGTTTGATTCGTGCAATATATTAACCTAAAAAATGTATAAATAGAATCATATTTCATAATTAAATTTTAATGAAAATATTTTGTTAATATATTATTTGAACTCAATTTAAACTGATTAAAAATTACTTTTTCAAAATCCATGTATATAGTCTATTTAAATAGTTGACCACTGGGCGCGACAGAATATCCTTCGGGGGCTACCTAGACACATGTAAATAGCCTTAACTGAGACAAACAAACAATAACACTCTTTAATATTCTCCTTTGGACCCTAAATTTATGGACTAAATCGATATCCGATTAACTCGAACTTTTAAGGTAATTTTAAAGATTGATTCGATAATTGTTAACTCGTGACATCAAATATGTCGGACATCCTATTATAGTACATATAGTTATGCCCGGATGCCGATGTATGGGCCGATAAACCTTCTTCCTCTATGTCCTTTCCGGCACCTCAGTGCAACAAGATAAAACTTTTGTAATGAACTTACAAGAGGTTTATACAATATCCCCACATTCAACTTATACTATAGTTCCTTCCTGTATAGTATTAAGGAACAAAAGAAACTAGCTCTGAAGAACAAAATCAGGTAAGTCAAGGACGGGCATGAATCGGATAATTCAAAAAAACACAATGCAGATATAGGACATTTCTTTCTCAAAATAAATATATATATATATATATATATATATATATATATATATGTTAATCTATAGCACCCAAAACTATATTTCATGATGAGATTCATAAAAGAAAAAGAACCGGTTAAGAATACGACCTCACGAGGGACTGTTGATACAGGGCTGAAACCTGGACATCTTAAAAGGTTGTGTATTTTTCTGTTGTCTAAGTAATCCTATTTCCAGCTTCTCCTTGGCCTGAAAAGTGGTGCAAGGAAATGAAATGAGAAAGTTACAATTCAAAACATCTAAACCCCTCTACAAATTTCCTTTAACAATTTTCAGCCATTTTAGCCCTCATTTATGATTTCATTCTAATGCTTATGACCCAATTTGAAAGTACGTGAGTCTTCATAATAATCATATGTTCTTTAAATAGTATAGTTTATGGTAATACTTCCTATTCTTCTGCCGAGATCGCCAGTAGCAAGCAAGAGCACCAAACACACAGCTAGCAATTGCAATAGCCAATGCAGCTCCTATAGGCACCACGATTGCATTTGTTGAGGCCACCAAATCATCCAGAGTAACATTGGTCCTATCGCTGGCACGAAGACCCGTTTCGTTGTACAACGATATAAGCGTATTTCTGTAATAACTGACTAGGAATTTGAACACTTCATCCCTGTCCCAATCGATCTGATTGTTTCCTTTATCTTTGGGACCCAGTGAGAGATAACATGAAGGACAAAGTTGCCGCGGAGGCCAAATAATCTTCGGGAAATTCGGATCTCCGGTTTTTAGAGATGCTTCTTCCTTCATTAATCTCCCATTAACCTCATTATGTGCACTCCACAACCAAAGGGCAAAATCACGTGCTTTCTTCAAAGGACTAGTAACTCTACAAATTGCATATTTGCAAATTAGATGAAACAAACTTGGAATGTTTAAGAAAATAAACTGCTTTGAAGTTGAATTTACCTCGAACACATCTCGTAAAAATGTTGACGACAATCTTCGCAAATAAAGAAGTTGTGAATAAAATCACATACAGATATAAACGCAAACTGGCTTTCTCCATCTTCAATCCTCACTGAAAGTGAATGCATCAAAACCCACAATCCACAACTGCCAACAAATATGAATAATTATTGACATCTTAGAAAACCAATTAGAGGTGAAGGAATCTCCGCTATAATTGAATTCATGTGTTCAATTTTAGAACGGATATCCAACATAAAACTAATTGACAATAGGTGGTGGAGAGGGTCTTATTATATTTACGTATCTAGGTTGTCCCAATTTAACAAATATGAAATTTAATTTATCTCCACTTAAATCCTACCCCTCATGAGACATGTACCATGAAGGAGATATAGTACGTGATACATCAAATGCATAGTAGCCCTACCGTTCGTGCTTTCATCAAAGGAAAAACTTCCTATCAAAAAAAAAAAAAATCAAAGGAAAGACTCGGCTCTCACTTTGTTAACATAGAGAATAAGAGTGGGGTTAAAAAAGGCGACAACACTTGCTCCAACCCAAGTTAAATTTTAGAATAAACATTCATAAAATTAATTGGAAACAATTGGAGATGTCTTTGTTATAATGATATGTCCGAGTTGCCCCCAAATTAGCAGAAGTGGGTTTATTTTATCTTGGTTTAATATACAAGGCTCATAATTGTCGAAAAAGAAATATTCTTAGTTACCAAATTATAGGAACAAATAACTATGAGAGACAGCTAGTTTGACAGGGTAAAACAATTTTGATGGCAAGGTTATTCTTTTTATGACAGTTTGAGAGATCCCGACTAGACGAGTATAATTTTTTTCCTAAAACGAATGTATGAGCTAAAAATTAAGAATTTTAAATCATTACCTAAAGCCCCTGGTTTCGTTCTTGCTGCCACGACAAAACATCTGCAAAAACGAATACATGAAATAGCCTATGATGCTCCAACTTTTCATTTTTCTCAAACTATCCCTGTCTGATACTGTCGGAGACATAGTTGGACAGAGTATAGGGACATGACCCTTTAAATACATAGAAAAACTAAGAAAAATTTGAACAAACTCGTATATTACACTCAAACCAGAGTCCGAGTAACATAGGGAGTAGAACCAACTTATTGGTAACTAAGAATCATCAAGTGTAATTCAGGGATTCATAACAGCAAGCAATGAAGTAATTGTCAGCAATCAAGAAGGTCCATGTAATGCAATTATTTAACTTGGCCAACATGATGCTACTAATGTTAACATTTTCAGGTATATGCAAGGGAAGAAAATACCAAATAGCAATCCGATTTTCCTTTTAGAACCTACCCAATATCCACGAGGAACTTCCTTTCCACAAATCTGGAAATCATGTAGCACCTCTTTCAGGTTATTGGTGACATCATCAACTTTATCAGATGACCACATATCTAATGGGCACAATTCATCAAAGTTCATGAGCACTTCTGCACTTCCTTTTCGACACCTAATTCATATAATAATAGCACAATTAAGGAAACACCATATAAAGCCACGGTCATAATGAAAAGAAGGATCTTTACCTCCTGGAAGGATGATGAGCTACTAAAAGCTGAAGGAATTTTATAAGTGAAGCTCGAGTTTTTGATTTAATCATCTGCAGGACATCATATGTTGCAACTTTAGAAAACGGGAAGTTTTTCCCCTAGCTTCATATGCATAAACATATACACATGAGATACAGAGGGAAAATCTACATTAGAGATCCCCACCTTATGTTCCAAAATGATGTCAAAGGCAGTTGCGGTTGCCTCCTCCACATCATATATGGCTCGAGCAATCTTACACAAGCCAAATTACAAAGTTAAAATCCTAAGCAAATTGAAAACCTCAAACATACATTGTTCAAGAAGAAAATTAGAAATGCACAAAAATACCTGTCCAGGTTCTGATATATTGGACAGAAGAAGGTTGTTTTCAAAATTTTCATCATCCAAGCCATATGAACTGAAAGGGAGTCAATTAGCATAAATCATATGACCAAATCTGACAGTAAAGGTATCATAGATAAGTGCAAATATTTGGCATTAACTTCAGCTGCATATCTATCAATCACCCTCATTTTACAAGTACATTATCAGAACAGAAACATATTTCTTCATAGTCCATAACCTCCCCGCTGTCAATGGTTGCCATGCCTTACCATCAAAAGAAGGTTCAAAGTTCCAATCCCCTCCCAACCCATTTTCTAGGACTAACATAATGCCTGATAGCATCAGGTGTGATATAAAAAGCGTAAAAAATCTTATGAGTCTTAGTTGTTCGGAGATCAGGCAGAGGTTTGAGTCAAGGTATGTAATACAAAACCAAACACTATAGAAACTGTCTTTCCTACTTATGCACACTAAGGTGTGGAATAAACATCTGGCAACGCATGAAACTATTCAATCATAGTCTGTCACTCTGTCTCAAGGATTTGTAACAACACGCTGGCAAGTTCTATGTACATTAGCATACGCTTCAACTGAATCTGAAGAACACATCATTCTCCAATATGTTATTCCATGTTATATTAGTCATGATTTTAATGAATTAATCTTATATTCTTCAACTGAATCTGAAGAATGCATACCACACAAAATCATGATTTTAAAGTTAATCTTATATTCTTTCAGCTATCAAAACATCTTACTGCACGCTGTGTCAATATTAATTAGGAATTGTATGTACATAGCGCTCTTTTAACTAACTGATCACCGAGCAATTCTCAAATGTACCAGTACAGTTGAAAAAACATTAATCTCATTCAGAATACCAAATAGTAAGGCCCTCATAATTGCATTTAGTTTACAATTCCATAATTCCAAGCGATCATTAGCTCTGAATATAAAAATGATGTACATTAAATAAGTGGTGAATGTAGATACCTCATACATACCTGCCTAGTTGCTTATTGATCCAATTAAGCAAACGTTCTGCTGTTCGCCCATCATCAATTTCACGTATTTCACTTTTTTCTTTATTGGGTTTCCAACCAGAGGAAAACTTCTTAGGAGGACCCCAAAACAGCGTAGGGTAGTGACCAACAGAAAACTTATGACAAAGATTGGTATTTATCTGCGCTGCCAGAGAAGTCAAAGATCCAAACTTAGATTAACTAGACAGTTTTTCAACAACTATAAACAAGAGTAGGAAAGAGTGAACCTCAAAAAGGAATGCAATATATTATTTAGTGGCTACTTAAAAGAACAAGGCTAGATAAGTAAACCAAATTACACAGACAAAAAAGAACAGCCACAGTACATGGTAATATTCCAACTCTTCAAAACTCACAAAAAGAACTAAAGAACAGAACGATGTTAAAGTGCTACTTTTATTTAATTTTCATATTAACAACTTTACACTAAACTGGAGAAGGCCAGAAGGCCAGAAAACATTTTCAACTGCATCAAAATTACCAGCATTATGCTAATGAGGAAAATATGTGCTATGAGTCTATGACAGAACATGGATTGTTAAAGTACTATTTCCATGAGGCTGCACTTTGCAGGTATCTAAAAGACAAAATGAATACCTTTAATGCACAGTCGACTCTAGTCATCAATACGATACCAGGATGCACCGCATCAGGTCCATTGAAAAGCCTAGCAACTTTTTCATAATGACGCTGCAAAAATCATAAGAAAGTGAATCTATAAAAAACACTGAGTGCAAAATAGACCATGATGTACCTTGTAATTTCTGCAAGCGGGGCACCTGAAAAGTAATAATCACACAAAAGAGAGGATTGTCATTTAACAACTAGCGTAACTATACTACTAGCCACGCATGCAAGCAAATGCACTCATGTATATGAATGTGCAATTTTCATAAACGGCATAAAATTGAGCGAACACAACAGCTACTAGGAAACAAATTATATTGATCATAACTGGACTCTGGATGTGTTGATTAGTTAATCTGGCTGTGAACTATAAACAACCGTGACCATTAGTTGGTTTGCCAACTCTTTCCCTATTTGGATGGACATAACAATACCCTCACACTTCCTGTTTTTTTTTTTAAAAAAAGAACACAATCGTATTTATGTTTATCAAAGGTGCAAAATACCTAACCAACAGAGGAAACTTGGGAGGGGGAAATGGAAAATTCAATTTTATAAAATCACGCAAGTTTGTTATTGAAACAAAGAAAAAGAACAAATTTTGGACAGTGAGCTAAAAAAATAAATTCAGTTCCTACGGAGTCATCCCTCTAATTCTTAAATTCCAAAAATTATATATTATAGTTTTAATGCATTCATTTACGTGAAAAGCAAACTGAAAGATTAAAAGAACCAGTTATGTTCATTGAACTAAATGAAATTCAATTCCCTAAAAAGTCTCCCTCCAATTCTTAAATTACAGCAGATATATAAAATAATGCATTCAATTACATGCAAGGAAACTGATAAAGGTTCAAACTTCAAGGTATCTTTCTCTACATTCGAAGACTCTTTCATTAACTTAAATTAGATGCCCTTGTTATGGGCAAGTTTCTTGACCGAACCAACCAAACCAAATTCCAATGGTTCGGATCAGCTTGGTTCATCCCTTTTCCATTTTCTTAAGAAAATTATTTAAATATTTTTTAATAATTTATAAAATATTTTTTATATTATAAAAAAGCTATACCGAATAAAAATTATTAAATAAAAAATATAATTTGGTTTGAATAATTGTGGTTTTTTATTCAAACCCAAACGAAAGTCGATCTAAACACTACCGTTCAAAATCGGTTTGTTCGGTTTTTCTTCTCAGATGATGGTCCTCGCCACGACAACCAAATTACAGATTAATTTTCAGCAGATTAAGTTTTGATAAAGTAAGGAAAAACAATTTCTTCCATGGTCAACGCTGTCACCACATAAAACTATGAAAAGCGATAATATATTTATTGTTCTTAAAGCTCTAGATTTAAAACAGTTGTGCAGCTTAGAATGGATGAAAATTAAAGGACTACTAACCAGTGAGCGAAGAATTCGACTATAGCGTAAGTGGCGGGAGTGTCCTTGAGAACTCCATCGAAGTTCGTGGCGTTCAATTCAACGCCATAGTCCTTCGGATCACTACCGCCGCCGCCGTTGTTATCGCCAATCACACGAAGTACCGTCCGCGATCCTGCTTGCAACGACGTCGCTTTTAAAATCGAAAGGCTCAAAATCAGAATCCAGAACACATGAGACATGGGAAACAAAGAAGCAAAAAAAATGAAAACTGAATGTATGTTTCTCTGGGGCTTCTTCGGAATTGAAATGAAAGTCTTCTTTTATGACGTCTTTGACATTTTATAGGATATTAAGTTTGAAAAAAAAATTATTAAACATATGTGAAAAGAAAGATGTTAAGAAATTAAATATTAAGATTTTAGTTTTAAAATTAATAAGATTTAAATTTGAAATAGATTGATATCTTATTAAGTTTTGAATTAATTTTTTTTATTAAAAATTGAGTGTTAAAAATAAATATCGTTCAATAATAATAAATAGATTAATATTGTATGATTCAATAAGAGACGATAACAGGTCAGATTGAATTGAGTTGAGTTTTTTATCAATTCGATTCGACTCGAAAAAATACTTTCAGTTAATCTAATTCGACCCAAAGAGCATATTTTATATACTCAAACTTGATTTAATCTAAATTTTTAAAGTATAAATTTAATCTGATCTGACATAAAATAAATACTTAATTAAAAATTATAGAGAGAAGGGGTACTATAACCATTATTTATAAATTTATATGGAAAAATTATACTATTATCCTCATTTTGGATCGAGTCGGAGGGTTTTCACCCTCTATCTTATTCGACCCGAATTTACCATATATAAAATCCAATCCGAACCTATTTTTTTTTAAATAAAATTAACTCTATCAAATGATGTGAAAATTTATCGATTTTAAATTAAATTATCATCCCTAAATTTAATGAATCATCCGTTAATATATTAATTATAGAATTGTAATTAAATTTCAAAATTTTATTTTTAATAATTTATTAATATTTAATGTATTTATGGTCCATAATTTAAGTACATATAATATCTCAAATACACATTCATAATATATACATAGAGAGAGAAGATAGAGCGAGCTCGTCATATGTACCTAATTTTGTTGGCATGTTTAGAGTTTATTATTTGAGTTTGTGTATTAGTTAGTTAGTTGTTGGTATGTCCTTTTGTGTAATAATTTTTATTTTTTAATGTTTTATGTACTATATAATATTTAGTTCTATAATCGTGTATTGATTTTCACCATTAATTTTATAGGTTAAAATTCATAAATGATAATTAAATTACATTAAAACGACCTATTTAAATTTCTCATATTAATTCCGACTATGAAATCTGTAGAAAGAATGGGAAATTAGATAAATGTAAATTTGAATTAGAGAACTTATTTATTTACCTTTCATTTTCTCGTTTTAATATCATTTGCACAGCCTTCACAGTGGATATACATTTTAAGCAAAACAACTTCAATCGGAATATGTATAAATAAATATAAATCAAATTACTTTTGACATATTCAACTCAAATAAAAAATATAATCGGGTAAAATATACAATTAGTACCCCAACTATCACTTATGTTTCATTTTAGTCACCTAGCTATTTTTTTGTTTCAAAATCATACCTAACGTTACGTTTTGGTTTCGTTTCGGTCACCCACCTTTAAAAAATTAGCGATGATGTTGACGTGTAACCGTAAGATAATATCACATTATCATTGAATTTTTTTTAAAAGAATTGTTGATTTTTTAACTGCAGGTGACCAAAATGAAACCAAAACGTAACATTAAGTATGATTTTGGCAAAATAATAGTTAAGTAACTGTAGACACTAGTTTTTGACTGGGCTTAAAAAAAATATATACATGTTATTATAAATATTATTTATTATTATTATTATTATTATTATTAATTCTATTAATTTTATTTTTGCAGGCCCCACTACCCACCATTATCTCAACTACAAACCTACCCACCTACTCCACTACCACATGCATCAGGGAACAAATGACGTGGGAAACGGAGGCAACAGACCTTAATTTGGAGTGATTGAAATCAACTTAAAAGGGGAGCTTCGTGGCATTTTCGTAGGGGAACAAAAAAATACTAGCTATCCCACGCTGAAATGTTGCTGTTCTAAGTTCCTGCCATTAATGTTTTGGTATAAATGCACAAACCACTCTTTGAATTCTCGATTGCACTCTGAAACTCAACAAGCTTTGCCCTTGCATTGCTTCCTTGCTTGCCTTCAACCTTTAGCAGACATAGCTATGGCTACTGAAATGGTGATGGTTGATGAGATACTTTTCCCCTCCCAAATCACAACCACCAAGCAACTCTCACTTTTTGGTCATGGGATTACCGATATTGAGATTCACTTTCTGCAAATCAAGTGCACAGCGATCGGAGTTTACCTTGAACCTGAAGTTGTTAAACACTTGCAACAATGGAAGGGTAAGTCTGGAAACGTGCTAGCAGAAGATGACTTCTTTGAGGCTCTTATTAATGCTTCGGTGGAGAAATTTCTGAGAGTTGTGATGATCAAGGAAATCAAAGGATCCCAATATGGAGTGCAGCTAGAGAGTGCCGTGAGGGACCGATTGGCGGCTGACGACAAATATGAAGAGGACGAAGAAGATGCCTTAGAGAAAGTTGTCGAATTCTTCCAGACTAAGTACTTCAAGAAGGATTCAATCATCACATACCATTTTCTAGTAAATTCAGCCACTGCAAAAATGAAGTGTAACCCACAAGTCTACTCCTCTCGTCGCAAGACCCACAAGGCCCATTTCATGGCTCCCTCGTCTGTCCACCGCGTTTTGATGGGCTCACCACTTTCATCCGTTCCGAGATCCGACTTCAAAACAGCGTCGTTGCTACTCTCGTTCTTCACAGGTTTTTCATTACTAGCTCTGTTTAAAATCTAACAATAGTGGGCTTAGAGAATACTGAAGCAACAAGCCTCACCGAATCTTTGACATAAAAAGTAGATGACAAAGATTATTTGTCATCATTTACAAATAGCTATGGAATTTATTGGTGCCAGTGCAAAAAATTTCAAAGAGTGGGGTTCACGCCATTAATTTATATTTTATTATTATTCTTTTCAAAGTGTGGTTTACTTTCAAAGAGTGGTTTGTCATTAACTTGTCAGGTTCACCAATTATTATTGTTTTTTATTTTATTATTCTTTTTTTTTCTTTCATTTATTTAACATTAATTTTTTTATTGTATGACATTTTTTATTTTTAGGGATACTTTCAATCTATCAAAGGTAACCAATTTGAATTGAATTTTTAAATTTAAATTTAAATTGCGAATTTTCGCAACTAAGACAACCGGCAAATTAATTGGTACCGAAAGGGCGGTTCAAGGGTGTTAATCCTTCCATGACCGTAACCGACTCCCGAACCCGACACGTTTCTGGTACAACGCAGATCAGGTAAGATGGTGTCTGACCCACCTAAATTCGTTTTAAAGTGGTCGGTGGCGACTCTAATTCACTTATTTCAAGTCGAAGCCCAATTCCGGGGCCTACCCGAAAGACGGTTGCGACAGCTTGGCGTCTCTGCTGGGGACAGGTAAGTGAGTCAGGCCGAAATTAATTTCTGGTTATCTTTTTTAGCGAAAATTACAAGTTTAAATTTTAATTTATTTATTCGATTCTTATTATTTATCTTTGATTGTTTTTTTTCAAATAAATAGTTGTACTAACGTTTTTTAATGATTTCAGATATTTTTCAAAATTGTCATCTTTAGCTCTATACCCGAGCTCCGAACCCTTTTAAGTGGGGGCGAAAGCGACGCCTTCGTGGGAATTTATTCTCCGTACGGGCCTAGCAAGTAACCTTCGGGATTCATATACCTTATGTCTTCGTGTGAATTTATTCACCGTGCGGGCATAAGGGAATGTTTCCTCTCGAGTTAACTTAGTCCACGCAAGCTTGTAATAGGCTTAGGACTAAGGGTCTGGCAAGTCCAAGGGGGCACCGGCAAGGATAATTCGGGTACCGTTTTTTAGAACCTAAACCGGGAGACTATGGAGAATTTGAGCCCACCCCAAAACCTCATTTCAAACCCTATGATGCCTGAGTTATTTCCTGCTTTACTTTCTATTCAAAGCATGCGAACTAGACAAATATGCGGTTAGGATTTGTTTGAAATTAGCATGCGGGATAGAGATCATGTCCGGGTATGAATAATAAGCATGTGGGGTAGATATCATATGGGGTAGGACTTTTTATTTTTATCATTTTTTATTATTATCCTTATCTCACTAACTTTTTTCCTCCCTTTCATTTTTATTCTTTGGCATTTTTTTTATCATTCGCATCATTAAAACGAGGTGTTGATCCACCAAAAATGTGTGTTAAACGTAAATAATCTACATTAACGGACAAAGGGGTTATAATACAAAGAGATAAAAAAACTCAGAAGTCCAACCGTGGTCAAAGAATACTCAAAGGCAAAGTTGCAGGGGCAATACGAGGAAAAGGTCACTGACCCGGTCGCTCCTTTCGAAAACTACAAGAACAAGATGGTGAAACCCTAGCTGAGCTAGATGCCATTGCTGACGAATTCAAGAAGCAAGCTTCGGATAGTTTCTCTCGATGGAGGGCTCCAATGACACTTTCGTTAGAAACAATCTCGGTAGAGAGTGAAAGTCAGAGATGCAGTCTTTCGAGACCTTTTTTGGGGCAAGCAACTCATTATTTGCACATTTTAGCCAAAGGAGCCGGAACGGTTTGACAGGGTATTCAACCGGTGACAGACGAAGGCAGAAGACTAATCAACCTATCAGAAGTTGTTCGGGGTCTATGCCTTTAAAATATTTTTGTCTCTTAAGACATAACACTTTTGTCCCAATAAGGATTATTTATAATAACAGGTACATTTTTTGGATCAATGCCTCGAACATTTCATGCATCATGCATTCAGACATATTGTGCATTTTGTTATTTTTCTTTATATTCGTATTATTTTTCCCTTTTCATTACATTCACATGTCTCATAAAAGATGTGAACATTTCGATCCTATGACATATAAAGAGCTTTACCAACAATTGTTTGACGCACACGTGATGTCACCATATCCAGAGAAATCCATAAAGCCCCGTACCCCAGGTAGTATGATGAGAACGCTCATTGCGAAAATCATAGCGGAGTCCCAAGGCGCACTATCGAGAATTACTCCACAATCAAGAGAATCATACAGAAAATACATAACAAGAATCGGATCGACTTCAACAACTTTGGGGCATTCAAGTGAGGAAGATCATTTCATCATTTGAGGCATTCTGTTTGAATCTGTTTTTTCATTACTTCTCAAATTTTTGTAAGGAATTTTGAATGAATCACATTTGCAAACTTGCAATTCTTTGAATATCATTTGAATTAAGAAAATCTGTAAATGATTTAAAGTTACAGATCTTTTGACAAAGTAACATGATTTAAAACAAGGACTTTGACCTTACCTAGAATATACCCTCAAACACCGTACCCTGCTCTTACAATTAACCAATACAACATTTTCTTTTCATAAGGTGCGGACAACACGGGGCATCATTTTCATATGACAATTACTATGTTTTTTATTTAAGACGTTCAATGACGGTGATGATCTTTACTAATGAAAGAGTCGAGTAGATGAATCCAGTTTAGGCCAGTTGCTTGAAAATTAAACTCTAAAGATGAAAGTTTTGACTTTCAACAAACACCTAGGCTATAACAGGTTCTTCTTGATAATCTTAAGAAATTAAATCTGTAAAGCTGAGCTAGTCCACTAAGGCAATTGGTTATAGATGAAACTTGAAAGCCCTGGCCTTATGAGTAGATTATGTTCAAACCATGACATTGCTCGGACACTTGGCGATTCGGTGTTTGCTCCACTGCTCTTGTCAGGCCGAAGACTCTGTGATAAGATGAACCCTTCAGTTAACTTGATAAGAGTGATTATAATATTAAGCTGTCCCTCTAAAGCAATTGGTTAAATGCCCCGGCTTTATGGATTCAGCTAGCCAGATAATGACAAGTTAAATCAAATTTATCTAAGCAAGAAATTTTCGGTAAAATGGACTAAGGGAGTTAAGGAACACCTGTTATAGTCGACTACACACGAGCACTCAAAAATTTCATTCTTAGACTGATATTTTTGCATTGCCTTTGTTGGAGGAGCCTACAAAGCTTGAACAAATGGAAGATTTCAGAGGACCGAAATAAAATGTCTAGTAATTGGTCATTCTAGTTGCGTCATTATGTCCGCACCCAAATGAAATGCCAAAGCATATTTCGATATTTTTTTAAAAAAATGACATTTTGGGTTACCAAAACCTTGGAAAGGAGGCTAACCTAAAGCCAACTCATCCATTTGAACATTTGTCAAAGATTTGTAACTCTGAAAGCATTAAAAGAGCTCTTGATTCCTTTGATATTTTTTGAACTCACATTTATAATTTGATTCAATTGCGAACAATATTTTACAACATTTTTATCATGTCTCTCTCCTAAAACAAGAAAAATGAGAAAAACATTTTCAAGCAGAATAGTCTCGGATATGAAAGGTCTGTAAAGCCAAAGCTCGGGAAGCAAATGGGGCACGATCCATTCCAAGGACCTGATTGACAGACAAAGAATGAGACTCCATCCAAAAGATAACACATAATTCATTCATATTGCATGCATCTTAAACATACTTAGGTGCATCACATTCATCATTTTAGCATACACATTTTTGCAGCTTTTAGAGTCAAGTTTTGACTTCAGGATGAAGGATACTCGATTCTGAAGCGCCTTCAAAGAAGGATGGTGGTTGATTAACTCGGCAGTAAGAAGCTACACTTCGACCAACTCGACAGATTGAAAGTTTCTCTCGAAACAACACATTTTGCTCGAGAGCCAATTTCAACTTCACAACGAAGGATATTGGACTCCAGACAACGCAAGTTCAACTTCACGACGAAGGGACCGCTGGTTGTCAATAAACAATTTCCCAATTTCAGAGCCAATTTCAACTTCACAGCGAATGATATTGGACTCAAGACAACGCAAGTTCAACTTCACGACGAAGGGACCGCTGGTTGTCAAAAAACAACTTCTCAATTTCAGAGCCAATTTCAAGTTCACAACGAAGGATATTGGACTCCAGACAACGCAAGTTCAACTTTATGACGAAGGGACCGTTGGTTGTCAATAAACAATTTCTCAATTTCAACTTCACAACGAAGGATATTGGACTCCAGACAACGCAAGTTCAACTTCACGACGAAGGGACCGCTGGTTGTCAATAAACAATTTCCCAATTTCAGAGCCAATTTCAACTTCACAGCGAAGGATATTGGACTCAAGACAACACATGTTCAACTTCACGACGAAGGGACCGCTGGTTGTCAATAAACAACTTCCCAATTTCAGAGCCAATTTCAACTTCACAGCGAAGGATATTGGACTCCAGACAACGCAAGTTCAACTTCACGACGAAGGGACCGCTGGTTGTCAATAAACAACTTCCCAATTTCAGAGCCAATTTTAACTTCACAACGAAGGATATTGGACTCCAGACAACGCAAGTTCAACTTCACAACGAAGGGACCGCTGGTTGTCAACTGATAATTTCCCAATTTCAACTTCACAACGAAGGATATTGGACTCCAGACAACGCAAGTTCAACTTCACGACGAAGGGACCGCTGGTTGTCAATAAACAACTTCCCAATTTCAGAGCCAATTTCAACTTCACAGCGAAGGATATTGGACTCCAGACAACGCAAGTTCAACTTCACGACGAATGGACCGCTGGTTGTCAATAAACAATTTCCCAATTTCAACTTCACAACGAAGGATATTGGACTCCATACAACGCAAGTTCAACTTCACGACGAAGGGACCGCTGGTTGTCAACAAACAATTTCCCAGTTCCAGAGCCAATTTCAACTTCACGTCGGAGGATATTGGACTTGGAATAATACAACTTACTTGGATTTCAACTTCACGAAGAAAAACATTCAATTCAGGAATCAACTTCACAACGAAGGAGTCATCCACGATTTCAACTTCACAACGAAAGATATCATGCCCAATGGATTGACTTGGTGTCACAACAAACACTATCAAGTCTCAAATCAAAGAAAACCAGACAAAATCTTGTTGTCTTTTTCATCTTTGCCATATTCTTGTTAACACAAAAATGTGCAAAGAGGGGCAGCTGTAGACACTAGTTTTTGACTGGGCTTAAAAAAATATATACATGTTATTATAAATATTATTATTATTATTATTATTATTAATTCTATTAATTTTATTTTTGCAGGCCCCACTACCCACCATTATCTCAACTACAAACCTACCCACCTACTCCACTACCACATGCATCAGGGAGCAAATGACGTGGGAAACGGAGGCAACAGACCTTAATTTGGAGTGATTGAAATCAACTTAAAAGGGGAGCTTCGTGGCATTTTCGTAGGGGGAACAAAAAAATACTAGCTATCCCACGCTGAAATGTTGCTGTTCTAAGTTCCTGCCATTAATGTTTTGGTATAAATGCACAAACCACTCTTTGAATTCTCGATTGCACTCTGAAACTCAACAAGCTTTGCCCTTGCATTGCTTCCTTGCTTGCCTTCAACCTTTAGCAGACATAGCTATGGCTACTGAAATGGTGATGGTTGATGAGATACTTTTCCCCTCCCAAATCACAACCACCAAGCCACTCTCACTTTTTGGTCATGGGATTACCGATATTGAGATTCACTTTCTGCAAATCAAGTGCACAGCGATCGGAGTTTACCTTGAACCTGAAGTTGTTAAACACTTGCAACAATGGAAGGGTAAGTCTGGAAACGTGCTAGCAGAAGATGACTTCTTTGAGGCTCTTATTAATGCTCCGGTGGAGAAATTTCTGAGAGTTGTGATGATCAAGGAAATCAAAGGATCCCAATATGGAGTGCAACTAGAGAGTGCCGTGAGGGACCGATTGGCGGCTGACGACAAATATGAAGAGGACGAAGAAGATGCCTTAGAGAAAGTTGTCGAATTCTTCCAGACTAAGTACTTCAAGAAGGATTCAATCATCACATACCATTTTCTAGTAAATTCAGCCACTGCAAAAATGAAGTGTAACCCACAAGTCTACTCCTCTCGTCGCAAGACCCACAAGGCCCATTTCATGGCTCCCTCGTCTGTCCACCGCGTTTTGATGGGCTCACCACTTTCATCCGTTCCGAGATCCGACTCCAAAACAGGGTCGCTGCTACTCTCGTTCCTCACAGGTTTTTCATTACTAGCTCTGTTTAAAATCTAACAATAGTGGGCTTAGAGAATACTGAAGCAACAAGCCTCACCGAATCTTTGACATAAAAAGTAGATGACAAAGATTATTTGTCATCATTTACAAATAGCTATGGAATTTATTGGTGCCAGTGCAAAAAAATTCAAAGAGTGGGGTTCACGCCATTAATTTATATTTTATTATTATTCTTTTCAAAGTGTGGTTTACTTTCAAAGAGTGGTTTGCCATTAACTTGTCAGGTTCACCAATTATTATTGTTTTTTATTTTATTATTATTTTTTTTCTTTTATTTATTTAACATTAGTTTTTTTATTGTATGACATTTTTGATTTTTAAGGATACTTTCAATCTATCAAAGGTAACCAATTTGAATTAAATTTTTAAATTTGAATTTAAATTGCGAATTTTCGCAACTAAGACAACCGGCAAATTAATTGGTACCGAAAGGGCGGTTCAAGGGTGCTAATCCTTCCTTGACCGTAACCGACTCCCGAACCCGACACGTTTCTGGTACAACGCAGATCAGGTAAGATGGTGTCTGTCCCACCTAAATTCGTTTTAAAGTGGTCGGTGGCGACTCTAATTCACTTATTTCAAGTCGAAGCCCAATTTCGGAGCCTACCCGAAAGACGGTTGCGACAGTAACCAAAACGAAACAAAAATGATAGTTGTGATACCAAAATAATTTTGCATGTTAGTTTAATTATTTCTCCAATTTGACATATTGGACTCAAATAGAATCAAATCTGAAATGAGTTTTTGAATCCAGAGCAATTAAACTTGAAAAATAATATCAAATGAAAAATAAATAAAAAAGTGACGAATACCTCCGGTTTCTGTTTTGGTATGGGAGAAATAAGCTCAACTATATTTCTTCTTGATTCTTTCCAAAATCTTCAATGGATCAGCCTTTTGTGACTTCACTATCACTCTATCACCTTCAATATCTGTCTCCACTTCTTCAATACCTAATCCAAATATTGAATTTTAATAATAATAAAAAAAAACTCAAAACATTAAAATGTTCGAACCTTCAAAGCCTTTCGAAGAATTGGAAACCATTGAAGGAATAATAACAGTATCTGTGTCTCGGGAATAATATAAGAAAATAGAAAGAGGGAATTCAAAGAAAGAAACGAGGTTAAATATGCCTTAATTACTTTATATATTTCTATACTAACCATTGTATGAGCTACCATACTAAAGTGGATATCCATTTTTATTTATCTACCATTTGGATAGGGGTGCTTAATGCAATCGCTGACCAAATCAAATTGGTTCAAATCGAATTAATTGATTTTTTTTCAATAGCTACTAAGTAAACTTTTGTTGTTGATAATAATTAACCTAACCGAACAAAGTTTGATTGATTTTTCAATTAAGCAAAATTTATTGTAATTTTTTTAGTTAGGTTAATTTGTGTTTAATAGAGGTATTTTTTATTTGAGTTAAAATTTGGTTGAATCTTGAAAGTTTAATGGGTTTAAAATAGTTGAGTCCTTTTTTATATAACCATTATTATTCGATCTATTGATTGACTAATCAGGAGAGAGTACTGCAGATGAGAGAGCGACCCTCCCAACCCAATTTGCTTCATTCGCAAACACCAAGATTTGAACTTCTGACATTGTTTAAGAGATCTAATGCTGATCCCACTAAAAATAATTAAGTCTTGATTCTTAATGAGTTTGAGCTTATATATATATATATATATATATATATATATATATAATATATATATATATATATATATATATATATATTTTAATACTTTCAATTAATTCAATAAATTAATCAATTTCAAATTGAATTAACCGAAAACCAAACTTTGAAAAAATTCTTAACCATTAATCGATCTAACATCTCATTACCCGATCGATTAACCAAATTAGATTTTTGTTCGGTTGATTAATTCAGTCAAAACCAAATGATGAACACCCTACATTTGGGTCACTAAATATCCTAAACCCATATTTCAATCTAATTTTCTCTTTCAAGTACTTGTTCATGTCGTGCAGGCCAAGTGTGAGAATGCGTCTTGGATGAACAAATTTCCCGAGGAGAAATCACCGGTTAGCTTTTGGTAATAGTAAATCAAATAATAGAATAAAAATATCAAAGTAGCATTGAGAAATTTTATTTTCTATCCTTTAGCTCTTTCTCTCCTTTTAAGTTTTTAACATGGAGAGTTTAATGGAAATCAGATACATTGAATGCATGATGTTAGCAACATAAATTGGCAGATCATTGGAGGATCTTACGTTTATACTAGTGCCTCCTATAAGTTGTAAACAAGTACTTCAAACAAAAATAAGAGTCGGAATAACATAGATTGGCAGCATCCGGTATAAATAGTTGGTCAAATCAGGCAGCTCTAGTTCCTTTCAGAAACTTGAACAATAAGAAAAGAACCCAACAAAGGAAACTAGGAACTCGTTGAGCGACCTCAATGGTAACAGAAAGTATTGTTCTCCCTAAGGTCTCAGGTTTGAATAGTTGAGCATCTACAAGATGTGTGTGCGTTGTCAATATATACGAAAGATTTTGAACATATATTACATTATAATCACCCCAGATTATTCAAAAAAGGAACAAAAATCCGAATTATTAAAAACCGATAAGAGAGCCCTGTTCCCCTTGTACTATGACAAAGTTTGCCACACAAGCTTGAAGCCTTGAAGACATGTCACCTTAGATTCTTTCAAGCTTTTAAACCATATATCCATATTTTGGGGCAAATTTTCTGTTCAATATTTTTAAAAATCTGGGACAAAAGTGAGCATAAAAAAATCAAACAGAAAGTTGTTTTGGTCTCTACCGATAAAAAGCATGGGTTCTCTCTAAATTGTTTACCAAATAAAAAGCCAGAACCGGCACACTTATTGTTTACCTACATTTGCTTGATCCATGACCACACAATTGTGTGGCAGCAATTCACAGGGTGTCTATAATCTAAAGGAGAAGTAAAAGGATCATAAGGGCATACCACAATTCGATTGATTGAGGACCAATCACTGCAAGAACCAACATCACTGACCACCGATCCAACACTGTTGATTTATATTCACCACTATGCGCCGCTTGCTTAACACTATATATTTGACTGATTTTCCACTGTCTTGGTTGCAAGAATCTATTGTTTAACAAAGAAAGAACGAATAGAGCCACCTTTCATAAAGTTTGGTAAAAGTATGAACCATAACAATTATCCACACTGAATTCATATTGCATTAAGGTCTACGCACTTGGTGTCAATGATAAATGAACCTTGTAGTTTCTTCCACGCTGTCGGTTTTTTCATGTTTCGAGGTAGGGAGTTGTCACAATGGTTCGTATTCTAGTTTCAAGTTGGCTACACAAAACAGCAAAGCACAGAATTCCACCTGACCCTACATGTGTAGTATATGACCATTTCTTTTAACACGGATGCTTAACATGCCATTTTGTTTCTGTCAGACCCATTTTTCATTTCCTGAGCTTTTTATTTTCTTTATGTAATTGTTCTTATGCAAGGCCATGTCCCACAAAGCAAAAAACAGTAAGAAGGACGAAAAGGAAAAACAAAAAAGAAGAAACTACGATTGAGTTATTCTACTGAACTAGGGGCCAAAAAGTTTTACAATTATGGATATGTATATATAATCATGCAGGAAAGGCCATTACAACCTAGTAACAAAATCATTTAGTGAGTATTCTCATGTTACTCAGATTCAAGTGTGAGTGTTGGATATGAGTATGTGTCTGACACAACATTAAAATTTTCTGTTTTACAATATACCCATGTCCAAAAGTGTGTAAAACACGTCAGGTACCAGTAATTCAAGAACAAAGAGTCAGAGCAAGATAAAAGCATTCAACACTTAACCATCCTCTATTGTTTTTATCAGCCACATTCCACAAGTTCATCTATTCAATGGAACATCTCAGAGATTAAAATTTCTACAGTTCTTGAACAATTAATTATATAGATTATTCCATTAGAAGAAAAAAAAATACATTCAGTACCTACTAATATAAATCAATTTTATCTTTGTTACTACCTCATGTTTGCAATAGATTTAGCAGTAACATCAAATCCATATCTCATATTCCATTTCGTACAGAAAAAACATGAAAATCTATCCATAAAAAAGTTTTGCAATACTAGAAAGGAACTCAAATATATTATTTTCACAGTTGCTAATTAAAGGTTTTGCAAAGATCCTACCAGTAGTTGAGGGTTCAGGTCAAAACCCCACACAATATCGGACCAACCCAGGCGGATCTAGCAGACTTATCTTGTGTCCATAATGAGAAAATATTTTCTTCTATTGAAACATCCTTTGAACCGAATGAAATCTGACAAAATAATCTCCAGAGCCCCTACTAGCAAAACCGGGTTCTTCCAACGAATACAAAGTAAATTATATTTATCATAATAATGATCATTATTTCATCAACATCCTATGCAAAAAAGAGCAAGCAGATTTACATGTCGGAAAGGGTGGTAATGTACCACATGGCACACTTCTAAATGATGATCTAAAACAGTTTACCATGATTAATGCATAATAATGTACTGATTCAATGGACTTGCAAGTGATACATATATGCTTCCATAAGAAAGATTTTTAAATGTTACAGTATGGTTCCATGCAAGAAATAAAAAAGTGACAATGAAAAGAAAGGAAAAAGAAGTCATGAATCCTAATACCCGCCATGCACATAAACATGAGTTGATGGCTTATAAAAAATTTCGAACTCCTGGAGTAAAGGACCCACTCCCCATCAGGGTACATGATGTGATCTTGACTAGCAATACCCAACCCAAATTTTGTAATGGTCTCTGTGTTTCTTTTGAGCCATCTTTATCTTAGACGATAGGATGCACTAAGGACCTAATTTATCTCACATTCATAAACAGTTCCACATCAAATTGTTAAGTAGATCAGAACACCACCCACCATCAGCGACAAGTAATCTAATTTGGTATTCTAAAGAGAGCAGAGATGAAGGTATACACTCTTCGCTTA